GTTGAGCACGACTCGTTACAAATCTAGGTGAGAAGAGAGAAAGAGACAACATTTAACAAAAAGGTGGTTCGTTGCGGGTGGGGCCCTTCTTTTAAGGTTCCACTCGCTACAGCGGCTCCGCGGGCCTGACCAAGTGTCGCTAGTTGGCTTCCCAGGGTCCATTCAGCGAGTCGCGCCAACCACGACCACGTATGAATTGTGTACGTATGTCCTATATCGACTGTGACAGGTCGCCTGAACAGCTGTAGGTAATATGTGTTAGTGCAGCAGTATCTCCACACAACGGCATGCGTTGGATATCTTACCGGGTACATCATGTGAAGCTTGTGCAGATGTAGGAATGCATTAGTCTGCAGCGGTGCCAGTCCCAAGCTTGATGTCTATTGAGGTCCTTGTTGAGGTTCCTTGATGCACCTCTCATTTTTGTTTACCTAATATTCCACGCCGTTCACTCCTTCATATGTATCCTCTTCAGCAGCGGGCAGAGGGGCTCGGACACTGAGAACTCGAGCTTGGCAATGAACAAGTTCATTGCCATCCTGGCCCGTATGGGCGGACACTAGACTAACTCATGGTCAAAGAGGAGTGCGTTTCCCAACCGCTTGGACTGCCTTTGTAGATAATATGCCCTGAGGTACATGCGACAAGGTCTGACAGTATGAGACAACGTAAGCAGGAGGTACCGTTTTTTGCCATTCGATGGCGAGAACAATGGCAGGTGCCTCGGCGAAGCGGAGGAAGGTACATTGGAGGCAGAGTTGACAAGTTTACCCCTGTTGACTACAGAGAGAGCTAAAGCGTGAGATTGCCCTTTCTGCTTAGGGTAGAGACTGACGTCTTTATCATAACGTCAGGATGATTCTTGGTCCCTGCAGTCTCGTATTCGAGCTTTTCGGCGCCTATAGGGTGGTAGAGACGCATTGTGAGGAATGGGCTGCGTATAACGCATTGTCTGAGATTTTGTGTAAGTGGTTATGGCTCAGAACAATACTGAGGTGAGATAGGATATCCGAGTTTTATAGAGAAATTTCTTTGTGGTGTGCCACAAAATCTTGATAAAAGAGCTGGAATTGTTCCTCATTTGCTGCTGCAGGCTTTTTTGTAAATGTTCTAGCGAAACCTGTAGATCTACTTCAATCTGCTGGTGTGTGACATTTGGCTGTGCAGCTCGTTTGGAAGAGCATTGGATAGCAGTTACCGGCTCCTTGCTCTGGCTAAACCGTAGAGTGGGTGTCAGTTGGGGCACTTGTAACTGAGTACATTGCATTGGTCGTGGCCGTGTGTTTTCTGCCTGCCTTTTTTTAAAAGCACTCTATTTTCTTCTCTAACAGGTCTATTTTCTTGGCATATCTCTTCATTTGCGCTTTGGGTTGTTTTGTTTTCTGTTACAACCAGTTGATACGCCTGGCTGTGTATAAGTGGAGTGGCCGTAGGAGACGCAACGTCTGCCTTCCTTACCTCTAGATCTGCAGTCTTCATCCCCTGCTGTTGTTGGTTTTGTGCTTCTTGAGTGGACTAGATGCCTGTCTTAGCTGGTGGGCTGCCTGGTTTGCTGTCTTGGTCGCCTGGAGTCTTTCTCTTTAGCCGGAACGAGAGCAAGATCGGGATTTAAAGAGGTCCGGGTAGGCTGCCCTCCGAGCTTGATTTTTCTTCATCTTCCGAGGAAAACCATCGCCGTAGCATCTCGGAAGCATGCGAAGGTAGTATTTTCGCACATTCTTTTGTGTCGGTTGCGCAGTAGCACTGGCTTAAGTGTCTTGGAGCACGCACGATCCCCGGTAAGATGAGCTTCCCCGCATGAGGCGCAAATCAGTTGGCACGGATGTCTGGAGGTAAGTTTGTGTGTGCCACAAAGTTTGCAAAGATGTTTACAGGTTGCGGGCAAATGTCTGCACGGTGTTTCTTTTCCCTGCAGACTTTGCAAATTTGCAAAGTAGCACGAAACGGGTGGCAAATAAGTGACCTCCATAAAAATAGACAGTTCGAGGAAGCTTGTCTTCATAGAAAGTGAGGGCTGCGCTCTTAGTGTTGCCTATCATTTTGGCTTGCACAAGTTCGGTGCCTTGAGTGCGTGTGCAAAGATGGGCCATTAAAATTTCCATAGACGCATTGGGTTGAATACCATGCACAACTCCATGGAGTGCCTCTTCTCCCGAAGCCACGTAGGCGCGCACCAGGTGCGGTCTGCCATTGATTACAACTTTTTGAACCTTCCGAACGAGTTCAGCTACTTCGCAAACCTTCCTGGATAGTATGGCAACATTGAATTCTCAGTTGATATGCAAAATGAACTTCTCGTACGTGAGCTGGTGGTCATAGGTTTCGATGATTGCTCTTGCTGGTTCAGAAGCATATAGCTATAAGGCCAAACTTCATAAGCGCGAATATGCACGCGACAGCGACAAGCAACACGTGCATTTTCTGAGAATTCATGGCAACATTGAATTCTCAGTTGATATGCAAAATGAACTTCTCGTACGTGAGCTGGTGGTCATAGGTTTCGATGATTGCTCTTGCGGGTTCAGAAGCATATAGCTATAAGGCCAAACTTCATAAGCGCGAAAATGCACGCGGCAGCGACAAGCGACGCGACGTAGATCGGCTTTGCGCGATTAGTCGCTAGCGCAGGCAAACCTCATTCACGCGATGGCTTCGGCGAGCGAATTCCACTGTTGCTGGCATGAGGCCGACTCACACCAAGAAAACCGCGTAGCGACTGGTATGCAATTTAAAAGTAAGATATATTGTTTGTGTAATGAAGCGGAAAGTGTTTATTATTGCCTTGCAGCACTTTTTTATATGCACATGCGTAAAACATTGGGTTATTTCTTGTTGCGCATACGTGACTCGGGCAGGATGACGTGCACCTATGTAGTCCTTGTCTTTTCCGGTATTTCGCTATTGGCTGCTTGAGCCCAGCACTTCCGGGCGATGAGCGACGGTTTCCAAATCAGGAAAACCGAGCGATCGCGCGAAAACGAGCACGCGACACGTCGCGCGAACGCCCTGTTTCGTCGCTCAGCGTCGCTCGTCGCTGTCGCGTGCATTTCGCGCTTATGAGGTTTGGCCCTCAAACAGCAGGCCTTGGTTCGTGTGCATGAAAATTTTATAATCATCCTCGGCAGTGGAGAGTGTTTTTGTACTCGCCGTGCATGCTTTTTACTGTGTAGTTGTTTCTGCTGGGCCTGAAGCGCGACAAGGTTGCGGCGTCCTGGGCTTGTTCCTTGCGTTGCCAAAGCGTTTAGCTGACCTGCCAGTGCGAATCATCGCCGTCGGTAGCATCGGGTAAATTGTCACTCACTGAGGCATGGCCGTTGGCGTTGGTATGTTTCATCAGTGTGCTAGCATCATTGTCTGCACAGGCGTCAGTTGTTTCAGTCACCGCTCTCCATCCACGTTGTCTTCCATGCCATGGCCCAGCTGGAGACGCTTCAAGCTGCAGCGTCTCTCCGCTTGCCCAGCGGCCGCCTAACCAGCGTTAGTGTTGGCAGGCCATCAGCTGTGGTCAGGGCCTATGTGGTGGCGATTTCCAGATATATGCGTCCCGGTCTTCAGATGCACTCTCGTTAGACGCCGGGAAACTTCCGAATTCTATTACGGAACTTTCAGGACGTTATCATAAGATAAACGCCAAAGAAGAGAATCAATACTAAAGAGCATGAAGTGACGACATCTATACTGCTTCGCGCCCCATAGCGTCTCTCCTGAACGAGGGTGAAGTATGAAAGCGTGCATGCCCCAACCGTCTCGCAACATAAACGTGACGTAACCATAGAAAGGCCGCTATTGTGCTCAGTGTATAGCCGCTACGACGTCTTTATTCCACAGTTTTTTATAGCGTGCGCTGCGAGATTAAGGTGGTTAGTACAGAGCCTTCGTAATTTTTCTGCTTCCGTGGTCAAAACGGATACTTTTTTACGTGAAAAAGTAAATCACAGGAAGCCCGTAAGCTTCAGCAAAAGTCATGGGTCATATTACCAGCAAGAAATATAAGTGATGAAACTAGCTGAGGAACGAAGCTCCTAATGAGTGCGTCGGTCGTCCCCTGTGTGTATGCATGTATCTAGTAACCACTCAGAGCATACCCCAGAGTGATGATGAGTGGGCAGAAGCTTCGGCACGTTTTATCGGCAAACCGTGAATCATTCGCTCACCGCGTCCGTTCGTTGTCTTTCTGTTTGACGCATGGGGACGGATAGATGGACGAACGGACGCACGGCTGGACACATGGTGGACGCAGGACTGAAAGACGCATGGATGAACGGACGGGTGAAAGCGGCGACGTATGCACTGATGGACGCACAGATGAACGCATGGAAGCACGAACGGACGGACGGATGGACGCACAGACGGATGGACGCACGAGCGGAAGAATGGACGGACATGCTGGTGGACGGAAGTAAGAACGAATGGACGATGGAAGCGTGCACGGACTGATGGACGCTTCATCCCACTCATCATCATTTCAGTCCGTGGGGTATGCTGTGATTCTTTTCGAGAGCGGAGCACCTTAGGGTCTCAGCGTGTCGGCCTGCACCGTCGTCTCCTTTTTTTCTGCTGCTGCTATTTTAACGATCAATTTGCTTAATTAATAGAGACTGCCTTTCCTCGTCAAGAGAAAGTTCATTCTCTCTTGCGGATAGATAGATAGATAGATAGATAGTAGATAGATAGATAGATAGATAATAGATAGATAGATAGATAGATAGATAGATAGATAGATAGATAGATAGATAGATAGAAGATAGATAGAGATAGATAGATAGATAATAGAGATAGATAGAGATAGATAGATAGATAGATAGATAGATAGAAGATAGATAGATAGATAGATAGATCGATAGATATAGAAGATAGAGAGATAGATCACACCCTCTCCTAGAGGAAGAACACTGAACACGCATGTGTCCATCGAGCGTCATTTAACAGCCCTAACCTACCTGTTTCCTCGCATCCTTAACAACTTATCATTGAATCACGTGTCCACTTTCCATGATTTTCAGCAAGCTGGGATCGAAGAGCTTGTACTACTGCGACTACGTGTCTCATAACAACACTTGGCTTTATGGGTATTACCAAAACGGCATATACTGCTGGGTAAGGCATACTAATTCCTGTTTTTTCGTGATTTTTTTTTCGGAAACGCCAACATTGGGTCGTTTTTACGAAGTATAAGAACAGCCCTTCATTTACTCAAATAGAAAACAATCTTATCCCAGTAGCCTTGCTTTGAAAGCTGGTTAATTAGACCTCATTAGAAAATTTCAATTTTAGATCACAGCTTCTGTACATCCCAGTTGTATATGCTTGCATAGTGCAATCATGGTACTTTAATTTGTGTGTGTGTGAATAGTCACGTTTAGTTGAATAGAATGATAATTGAATGGTGCCGAATTGGGGCTTAAATATTTGAATATAAAATCCAATATAGATTGGTATGCCTAATATAAACCTGTACCGCCAGTTACGGCAAAACAAAGGGGAAAAAATTGACAGATCCCAAGTACGGTGGGAATCGATGATATGCGAAGCACGAATGATAAATGTTGATATGTCACTTTAAAATCAGCAACGTTACGAGGGGGGGGGGTAAATTGATGCCGTACATGACTTCCTGTCATGATTGCCATGCTTGGATGCGTCGTTTACCTTCGTCACATTATACCAAATTTAGTGTATGTGGAGCTTGCGAAAACGGCAGCGAGCACGCTAAGAGCGTGGTATGTTGTAATGTTCTTACAAAACACACGTGTCAGGATTATCATGTTTGCACCAGTCATATGTTTCGTCATCTATTCACGTCATGCAAGACCAAATTCGGTATATGTTGAGCTAGCAAACGTCCGCAAGCGCATCATGAAGGGCCCAATATACTCCAACGTAGCGTTAACGCGCGTGCACGCTGGGCACAGCGACGCTACGTTAGCAAAACGCTAACACTCTATAGTCTGACGCCAGGTAAACGATGGCAACCAGTGCGAAATGCCAAACGCTGTGCTTCGCGCCGGTGCCTTACCCAGAAAACACTGTGTCTCCCTCTTTTCGTGACGGAGGGACGCCGGGACGCGCTGAAAACGTGCATGCGTCTAAGCAACACGGCGCGGCGTGCGCCTGCGAGTATATGGCAGGACCGGCAACTGGCATTGCAACGCCGGCGGGATGCGACGAAATGAATGCTGGTGAGAACGTGCACCGCGTCACGTCGAAATGTATTGGCGCCTTGACAGTGGCATCTAGTCACGTTCTCACATGACACACATCTCATGATTATCATGTTTGCACCAGTCACATACCTTCGTCATTCATTAACGTTACGTAATACCAATTTGACATGTAAGCTAGCGAAACGGCTGCGAGCGCATCATGATTGTGGCATGTAGTCACGTTGTTACATAATACGTATGTCGTGATTATCATGTTTGGATGTGTTATTTACCTATGTCGCCCGTTCGCGTCGCGTAGTACCGAGTTTAGTACATGTGAAGCTAGCGAAACGGCCATGGGCGCATCATGAGCGTAGCATGTAGTCACCTTGTTACAAGACACGCATCTCATGTTTATCATGCTTGCACCAGTATCATATTTAGTAATCCATTCACGTCCCGTGATACCGAATTAGGTATAATCGATGCTTGCAAAACGGCAACCAGCGCATCATGAGCGTGGTATGTATTTATGGTACATGACACGCATCTCTTGATTATCATGCTTGCACCAGTCACGTACCTTCGTCACCCATTTACGTACTGTAATACGAAATTTGGTATATTGAGTATATGCCGCGAGCACATCATGGGCGTGGCATGAAGTCATGCAGTTACATGGACACGCATGTCATGATTTTCGTTTTAGGGTCTGTCGCCTTGTGTCGCTCATGCAATCATGCCACACCAACCAGCTTAGTAACATGCCATGTGAACCAAACCACCGCAAGAGCTGCCAGACCATGAAATTCACATCATGACATCGATGACATACGTCATGATTTTCATGTTATGACTAGCTAAATATGTTTTTTACAGGCATGTTAGCCATACTACGTTGGTATCGATCCATTATCGAAACGGCCAGGAGAGCTAAACGACCTACATGGCTAGATAGATAGATAGATAGATAGATAGATAGATTAGATAGATAGATAGATAAGATCAGATAGATAGATAGATAGATAGATAGATAGATAGATAGATAGATAGATAGAATAGATAGATAGATAGATAGATAGATAGATAGATAGTAGATAGATAGATAGATAGATAGATAGATAGATAGATACTCGCCGAAGTTCGCTAAGAATCATTTCGCATTTATAAAAACAGTTACGATTAAAGTACAAGGTAATCTAGTATGGGAGACGATAAAGCCGTTCCGAGGTCCTCACACATGATGGCGCTACCTAGTTTATACCAAGTAAGTTGTAACCATTGTGGGTATTTCGTGCCCTATAATAGATGAGTTCATTTCAGACCCACGTGGGGGCATTACATAAGAGATGACGTGCAAGAATAACTGCTACTCTACGAGTGTTCAGAAAAAGTAGTTAACAATTTGGCGCACTAGGTGCTCCAAATTGTTTCAGAGAATTTTATTTCCGGATATATCTAACACAGCTTATGTGCACACAGAAAAATGAACAGTGGTGATCAATGCGTATGTACAATGCAAGCTGTTATATACAGCGTAAGAACTTCTAGCGTATGCAGTGACGTACGACGCAAAAATAGTACAACAAAGACGGGACATTCATGACATCGAGATGATTAAACTTAAACAGTAAGGCTATATGAACAAACAAGGGGAGGTCATTCACTATGTAGGGTGATGTGTACCTGGTTAGAAAAAATTTATTTACAGCATGTACAAAACACAAAGGCTTCATACCATTTCAGTAACAGGGCATATACACCTCGTCACATCTATATTTCACGACTAACATCACTACGTTACAGTCAAGACATTTGCTCTAGTATACATGACAATGTTGGCATAAATGTACACATGTGGACTATGACTTGGTACGGACTATGTATTGCTGTCGCGGGATAGTGGGGTTATCCACACACATACAGGTAGATGTGTATATTTGTGGGGCTGGTTTTATGAAGTAAGGTTGAATATCGTGGCTGACATCTCCAAAGTAAACAGCAGTAATACTAAGTTGAGTTGTGCATTTTCCTCGGGAACATGCAGCTTTATTTGTAAAAAGCATATCAAAGGAGAAATACTTAAAAATCATTTGATCTTGCACTGGTACTTTCAATAAAGGTACTGTACTGGAGCATAGTGGCGCCAGCTCTGTACCAGCGTGAAAGAAGACGTTGACGTCCATGTGGCTCGTGCTTACCGGGTTCCTGTCTGTACCAGCTTGTTGGGGCTAACGCTTCTTAATCAGTAACAAGTGTTTTTACGTGAACTTGCTCGTTGCATTTGGTGGAGGTGCTGGGTAACATCCTGGTGCTCCGCAGCCATAAGCTACCATCTGATTCCAGAATGACCGAGCGCGTTGACTCCCCACAAGCCTCTTCCACGTCGCCGCCTGTCATGTGCCCTGGTGTATTTTGTCTGCGTGACCCAGTAGTCTACAACGGCACTGAAGATCACGATGTCGAGGACTGGCTGGCAGAGTACAAGCGTGCCAGCGCGATTAACAAGTGGGATGACCCTGCGAAGCTGACTCACGTCATCTTCTACCTGACAGATTTGGCCAACCTATGGTTCACCAACCACCAAGCCGACATCCCCGCCTGTTCGGTTTTCAAAGAGACAGTGACCCGTTTTTGGGTCTTCCAGCTATGCGCAAGCTTCGCGCTGAACTTGGCCTGCGGAGACGATTTCAGTGAAACGGTGAGAGCTTCACGAGCTACATTGAGGATGTGATCGGCCTCTGTAGGCGAGTGGATGCGAGGGTGACGGAGGCTGATAGAATAAAGCATTTAATGAAAGTCATTGATGACGACACTTTTCATATGTTTGTGGCCAAAGACCCACAAATCTTCACGGCCGTGATTCAGCTCTGTCAAAGTTTTGATGAGCTGCGCAAGCAGCGAATTTCTACTCGTCGCGCTAATACGCAAACAGCAGATATTCCGGCTTTAGAGTGCAAAAGAAGTGGCCCCGACTACACTATATTGATGCCTCAAATTCAACAGTACATCCGCGAAGAAGTTGCTCGACAGCTCTCTCTTGTGGCCACCATCAACGAGACCCCCACAGCACTGGACCACTCACTTCACCGTGCTATTCAGACGCAAGCTGCCGAGTCTCTCCCTTCGCCCATGGCCCCAATATCAGGTACTGCACGGCTAACTTAGGCAGAAGCCATCAGCCGACCTCCTGCCCAACCGCTGCTCCCTTCATACAGTACAGCCACCAACAACTACAGGTTACCTGTTTCAGTTTATCCGGTAAATGAACGCTTCTCGCAACCTCGAGCACCTGTTAACTCTTGGCGTACTCCGGATAACCAGCCCGTCTGCTACAACTGCGGTATTCCAGGGCATGTCGCGCGCCACTGTCGTCACCGTAGATTATATTATAATGAAGCTCAACATTCCGGCATCGTTCCTCGGCAACCAGAATCACATGTTACACCTGATGCACCTGACTCCCGCTCACGTCGACCAGACTTTAACCCGTCTTCAGTCTCCTTCTCCCATGCTTCGCCATTCCAACCACGCCCAGGAGGAAAACTAACAGTCGCAGTTCCAGAGGCAAGAACTGCGCCACCGACAGAATTTCCAAGGCTTCAACTTTCGCCCCCTAACGAGATTGCGTGTTTGTGGACGGTTTCGCCCCAACTGCACTTGTCGACACAGGTGCCGCTATTTGTGTAATCAGTGAAGTGTTATGCCGCAAACTGAACAAAGTGACGACTTCACTGTTTCATATTTCCTTAAGCAGAGCGAGTTCGCAGCACGTCCAGCCTTCTGTCACATGTACTGCTCGTGTTGTGAATCAGGGAGTGCTGTACATCATTGAATTTGTCGTCCTTCCTCATGCGTCTCATGAAATCATTCTGGGATGGAACTTTCTTTCCGCTAATCATGCGGTTGTTCACTGCGCCCGTGCACAACTCGTTTTGTTTCTCTTCCGCACGA